AACAAGGGATCTCCTTTAGTATAGGTGGGCATATATAAATTATTACAAGAGTATACTAGTATAATATTTAAAACCTAATTAATTTGAGCTAATTTAAACCCTAATCTAACCCTAACCCTGATAATTTATAAAATTACTTAAATTAGTTCAAAATAGTTAAGTTATATATGTTATAATTATATAATAATTCTATATACCCACCTATACTAAAGATCAATCTAAATGGGATTGCTAAAAGAAAAAAAAATTGGGTTTAAAATTTTATTAAAAATAATATTCAAATAATTTTTTAATATATTAAAATTAATATTGCTAATTTATTAGAAATAGTATTTTTGTATATTAAAATTTTATAAAAAATTTATATATTAAATTTAAAAATAAAATTATAAAAATTTTAAGCAATAATAATATTTATATAAATAAATTTTATTATTTTTTTTTATTATAAATAACAGTAAAAATTAATATTTTTTATTTTTAAAATTATAATATAGTTTTAAAATAAAATATATAAAATTAAATAAAAGGTTTAAAAATTAATAAGTTAGATTTTGAAATTCTACCTATTTTTATTAGTATTGTTGATATAAAACTTTTGAAATATAGTATTCTGATAATAATAACTACTAGTTTTAGTTAGTAATATTTTTTTATATATGATATAATATCAAATTTTAAACTATATAATATTAAATTAATATAAATTTTTAAAAATAAAAAAAAATTTTTTTATAAATTTAATAGTTTAAACAAATATATAAAAAGTTTTTAGCTAATTTTATTTTAAAAAAAATATAAATATTTAAATAAAAATTAATAGCTTTTCGTAATCTTCGTAATAAAAATTATAATCAAAAAAAACGTTTTTAACAATTATTAAAATTTTTATTAATATTTATACTGTATATAGTATAATAATAATAAATACTAAAAAATAAATAAATACTATTGTAACTATAACAAGCTATATTTAAATACAGTATTAGCAAAACGGCTAAATAATATTAAACTAATAGATTAATTAAAATAATATTACAAAAAAATAGTAATTGTACATTTAATTTAATAAAGTTATAACTATTTAAAAAATAAGCATTTGCTATATACTTTTATTACATAATTTATATTTTTAAACACTGTATATACTGTATATATCAATACATAGTATATATTATTAACAATTTATTTATTTATTTTAAATATTTTTATTTTTTTAAAAAAAATATATATTAAAATAAAATTGTAAAATAATAAGTCTAAAATAAGTCCAAACAAATTTATTTAAAATTACATATTAAAAGATATACAGCATATTAATATATTTAATAGTATATATACAGAATATGCAACATATTTTGATAACCAGATATATAAGTAGACCGCATAATTGAAATATACAACCTGTTTATTCAGGATTTTTATCAACCTTGATAAGCAAAATAATACAAGTAACACACATTATACAATAATGAACGTCGGGGCTGAGACAAAAGGATCGTTCAATATAGCTTATGTCGAGAGAATACATGTGTACGTGCTTCATATGTTGATCCAAAGTTTGATAATCACAGCAATTTGAAATTATTATACAGCAATGACTCTTCATTATATGTAGGATTGGTAGTTAAATTGCAGTACTATTACAATGCGCCAAGTCTTGTTAACCACAAATGAATAGAATACATAAAAGGTAAAAAATAAATTGTAAATGTCCATTGATCATTTGTAAAAAATTTTTTTTTTAAATACGAAGTACAATGAATAGGGAATGATTTACGATCCTTATGTTACGTAAAAGTATAAATTTATGGAGAATGGTAAGATAGTGTAACATGTAGTTTGTTAATGAACATACATATGGAATGGAATAAATGATTTATCATAAGTCAAAGCACTTGAAATTCCGGTTTCATGAAGACATTTATTGAGCTAATTTGGATAAAGTCAAAGCCTGCATTAAACTTAATTTTGCCCACGAAATTCTTTAAGAATTCTACGTATTAAAATTAAAAGTAATAATACATTGCGATGGTATGCATATAGACAAAGAAAAAGACAAAGACACAAGATATTCCGAAATTTTGTCTGTAAAAGTTTTAGATTACAAATGGATTTTCAGCCTTTATGTCGATTAAAGTTGAATTTCGATATCAAGGTTTAATATATTAAAATACAAATAAAGGAATAATTTTCGAAATCACAAAGGTAAATGATTATAAGATTCCGGGATTTGAAGATAATAAAATAACTGATCATGCATAATTCATTGGTAAGTTTCTTGGTTTACCAAGCCAATTATCCAAAAATTTTGAAAATTTTCTTAAAAAATTCTAAAAAATTTAGTATATTCATAGATATTCACAGATATTCACAGATATCCATAGAAGTTTACAGATATTCATAGATATTCATTGATGTTTACAGATATTCATAGACGTTCATAGATATTCATAGACGTTCACAGATATTCATAGACGTTCACAGATATTCATAGATATTCACAGATATTCACAGATATTCACAGATTAATGATGACAAAAAAAACAATGCATCGCGTGGTTCGGCCGACAAGAATCATTGTTTTAAAGGGAGTAGCATATATGAGGGGTTTGTTGGATTTAGACATATTTAGTTGCATTTAGTTATATTTAGATAACAATCTTTGACAATTTTTGGGGGGAATTTTTTGAAAATTTTTGAATAACTTTAAGGAGTTTATTCCCCGAACCTAGAAAAAAGAAAAAAAGAATGTTTGGAAAAAAGAATGTTTGGAAAAGTCTATAACGTAATACCTGGATAGAATACCTGGATAGGATTAAACAATAAGACTTAATGAGTAGATGAAATGATGAAATCTGACATAATATTATTTGCGAATTTAATGATCATAAAGTTTCATTCATGTTTACAAATTCATCGATTAGAATTCATAGAATATGCGACAGAATGTTCTACATTTTATTGTCGCCATAAAGATGTAATGTTTTCAAAACCAAAATTATCATAAACAGATGAGTTCCGGAGTTTATTTTAAAGGGATGCTGTAATTAACGTAATTAAAGTGAATAAATAATTAATAAAATAACCTTATTTAGACAATGTTTGTACAATGATTGTTTGAATGGACAATGCTACCAAAACTTATGTGCACAGTTCATACATTGTTCGACAACTCATTCATTTGTTTCATGTATGTTTGACCGGTTGACCCTGTCAAAGAATTTTGATAATGGGTTTGGCGTTTTCTACAATAAATAGATTTGTACGTAGAGTGTACAAATGTTTGTCATTTTTGTCGGATTGGATGCTCACGTGATACATTTTTTTACACAATACGGAATCGGGGCGGATTAAATTTTAACACGGTACCATCGGTATTTAGCGTTAGGAGGAAACATTAATATGCGACACAAGAATTTTGCCGAATTTTACACAAATAATTTTTCAAACGTGGTTAGAAATTAGGAAAATTATAAGGAATTATAGGAAATTATAGTTAGGAAATTATAGGGGAATTATGGAAGGAATTATAGGGGAATTACGAAATCGATGAAATTGATGAAATTGATGAAATTGATGAAATTGATAATGTCGATAGAAACTGTATACATACGTATCAGATATCACATTTAATACGTAATAATACGTACGTACTGCGGTCAAGTTACGTAGTAACCCTGAGTCATTAAAAGAAGGACAAAGAACTTGAAATTTAACCAGATATAGTAATCTATTATGGCTTTTAAAAAATTATACATCATCTTACGCATGCAATTGTCATAACAGTCATATGTGAATCGTCAAGATACGTAATAGATTTTTTTAATTGTGAAAATGTCTTAATATAGAATATTCGTTACTTGGTAACAAAGAGTAACGCAGTATTATGTATATTATGGAATCCCTTTGATGCCAGAAATGAAATCCTGTATGCTTAAAAAAAGGCAAGTAAAATAATGAAATATAAAGAACTATGCTAAATTGTGGAAACATTTAATTTGCTAATCAGCTTATGTGCGTTTCACAACTTCTTTCTTAACAAACATTTTACAAGATGAAAAGGAATGTGATAATTGATGTTTGTTAATGCAAGTCATGATCGTGCATAATAATATTTCTTAGTCTTCTAGAAACAAGGCAAATCATTACTAATTATTATTATGAATCGACCTTGTAGAATTTTGCCTTACAGAAATCGTACGTACGTATTAAAAAGTTTAAAAAGTTTGTAGATGTATGTATACGTACTGATTCATAAAGTATACTGTATTATATACTATTATTATATATCCTATTTCACTATATTTTCATATTTACATATTTACAAATATTGCTTGTAACCGCCAAACTAATAGCGATAGTTTTTTTTTTTAGATAAAACATTTTTTATTCAAAATGTATTTAGCAAACATGCTTTTTCACTAAAAAAAAAAAAATAAAAAAAAAATAAAAAAAAATTAAAAATCAAAAAAAATAAATGGAAAAAATAAAAAAAAATTTTTTACAAAAAAAAAAAAAAAAAAAAAAACACAATTGTTTTGTTATATTAAATCGTGTGACGTAATGTAATGCTTTTTTTAATGTTATTATATCAATATATAATGAATAGTACAAATTTTAACAACCAGCGAGAAAAAAAACTACGAGTTTTATTTTTAAAGATTAAGCATATATATATAATTGTTGTTTTTTGCATAGAAACAAAATTAATCATAGCATATAAGTTTGTGTTTGTGTTCGTGATGTATTTATAAAAAAAAAAAAAAGGTTTGCCAAATTTTAATGCTAAATTATGTAAAGATGCCAAATGAGTAATATATGAAAAAGAAAAAAAAATCGAAGGAAAAAAAAATGGGTTATTAGGGGAAGTATATAAAGAAAAAAGTGTCCTTGTTAAAAATGTTTTTTTTTTGTTCTTTGAGATCGAATTAAATATACAAACTAAAAAAGTAATAATAATAATAATTTGATGAAACTTTTTACATGAAGTCAATCTGTTAATCCGATAATTCAGAGAGGACATCGTAATCGTTGACACCGTAGCCAAGGTCTGGATCGTAATTTACAGAATTAAAAAAGCCAAAGTCACCAATGTTATAAAAGGGAAAATTATTATAAATATCGGCATTTAAATCGTAGAGAACGGATTCGACAGGTATCAAGACAGGTTGAAATATACCGGCTTGATAAGTTCCCGGAAGATTCAAACTCTGTAAGATCGGAGATTCTGATTCATTAGCGGATTCATCAGCAGACAATTGTGGAGAAGACGGTGAAGCAAGAAGAGGAGGAGACTGGGGAGGTTCCTGAATGGGCATATTGGATTGTCGATTAGTAGTATCGTAACCGCTAGCAGTACGGATACGTTTGTTTCGAATACGATCGTTTTGTGAATGACTAGTTGGAGAATGCAAGGCCCATTCTTGATAAAGAGAAGCAGCTCTCGTTGCGAATCTTTCATATTCCTGTTTTTGAAATAATGGAAGTAAATTCCAGGCATCTCGAGCCCAGCCAGAGACAACCTTCATTGGCGAGAATTGGCCGCGGCGATGTAAAGCTTCGTTGTATTTTGTCCTGAACAAAATAAACGCGTTCGGGGGTTTCTTTTTTCCTTTACCGTTTTTAAATTTGTCACCTAGTTCGTTAAAGTCGAATGTTGGAGGAAATTCAATTTCCAAGTCTTTTGGAGGGCTGGTCTTAGACTGTTGTTTTTTTCCACATTCGTTAATAAAGAGGAATTCTTTTGTTGGCATAGAAGACATTTTTACCGAAAGTAGATGTTGAGGGAGTTTTAGAGCTTTACGTTATTTTAGAATTTTACGTTATATAGGGCTTTTACGTTAAAAGAAAAAAAAAAAAAGAAAAAGAAATTCCTTTTTTTTTTTAAATTTTATTTTTTTTTTTATTTTTTATGACTTACGAAAGGTATGATTGTAAATTGGAAAATGTCGAGCTTATATAAAAAAAAACGATGCATAGGAATCCATGATCGTCATTCAATATCTTTATGATGAAACAAATCCTGCATAAAACTGATGACTATAATTTTTTTTTTTTATGTTACGCAATACCGCAATACAGATACAGTTGACCTCTTACAATATCTTACAAATATTAATAATTTCTTTCCGTCTTGGTTTTGTTAGAAAAATATTTTAACGATGTATAAAAAAAATTTTTTTATGCAATAGCATGTATAATTATAAATGAAGATTTTGATTACAGTATATATTTACCCATTCTAAATCCTGGAATGTCATTATTTGATGCTCTGCCAACTCTAAATTATCAAGATCTTTCTCGTTTTTTAAGGACCAGTGAGTATCCTTTTGTTTTTTTTCTTTTGTTTTCCGGTTTAGTTACATATACATTTTTTTTACATTGATTGCATATCACGAGCCGTTGTCAACTTTTTTCACCTGCATTGTTGAATACTTTATATTAAAATTAAAATTAAAATTCAAAGTTGAAAAAAATTTTTATTTATATAAGATAGAACAAGTTAAGTAAAATGCATATAAACAAAAACCTAGTTTTAGCCTTCTACCCACGGGTTATTTAAACTAGAATTAAATCTAATATCCATTTAACCACTTTATTAATTCGGTTACAAACCTTATTATACATTTAAGTAAATATTTAACATTATTAACGAAAAGAGCTCGCATAAATACGGGTTAAGCACTCTGCTTCTAAACTCTCAGACTAATCTACAAGAGGTCATTCATTTATCAGCAATTTCAACAATTGGGGAATATTGATATATATAAAAATATAAAAACATATAAAAATATACATAAATATATATAAATATATAAAAATATATAAAAATATATATAAATATATATAAATATATATAAATATTTTAGGAATCAAAATATGATGAATTAAAAATAAATAAATAAAATAAATTAAAAATTAATAATTTTTATAAGATATCTTTAAAATAATAATTTGGCACATTACGTCAAAAACATAAAATATCTATATTGAGATATAATATGTAAATAAAATAAGCTTATTAAATATATTCATATACAGTACATAAATTTGAAAAAAATTTTGCAAACAAGGTAAATGTAAGAATGATCAGAGTCCTATAAAAGATGTAAAAAAGATGTAAAAAAGATGTAAAAAAGATGTAAGGAGTATAACACACAACCTTCGTCCGTGCAAGTAGAGAATTGATTAATTGGTAATCGGTACAACAAAGTATGAACAATATCCAATATTATTTCAGGTTTATAGACTGGAATATTGCTTAAAAAAAAAAGAACGGAAAAAATCTAGTCATTCGATTGGTTTATATGCTGCATATAAACAAGAACAAAGGCGATACAAAAAAGATACGTATAGATGATTATTCTATACTATTCTTTATTCATTTCTTTATTATATTTATTACTATTCTTTACCATTCTTTATTATTCTTTGCTATTCTTTATTATTCTTTCCTATTCTTTATTAAACATTCCTATTCTTTAATATCTTTTAATATCCTTTATATCCTTTATATCCTTTATATCCTATAATATCCTATAATATCCTATAATATCCTATAATATCCTATAATATCCTATAATATCCTATAATATTCTATAATATCCTTTAATATCCTTTAATATCCTTTAATATCGTTTACGTGTTTAAAACATAATTAATGTGATTAATATGATTAATACGTATTATATAATTTTACAGTTAAAAATCATATAACAAACACGTCATTCGCAGAATAAATTTGGTGTATTGATGCACAGATGATATTAAAAATGAAATAAGTTAAATTTCCAAAAATATTCATTAGAAAAATAATTAATTAAAAATAGCATTTAGAATACGCGGCAATTGATCAAAATGTATAAAAGAAAATATATATATATATGTATAATGTATATATATATATATGTATACGTATATATATATACGTACTGTATATTACGCTCTTTGTAATTAATACTAATTCAAATAATGGACGATGGTGTCCAACGAAAAAGCATCATTGGTACGCATATCATGCATCATATCATCGTACAGTCCTATGACACTCCTGATTAGTATCACCCTTACATATATTTCAAACAATAGCATTTTTTTTAAACAATGATTCTTTTGAGTTAATAATGAACTTTGTACAAGTGACTACCCCATGTATTATTTCTGTATTATATCTGTATTATATCTGTATTATTTTGTATTATTTCTGTATTATATCTGTATTATGTCTATTATTTCTGTATTATTTACGTGATATCATATTGCAACGTAGCACAAATCACTTGGAAAAAGCCGAATATTTAATGTAACAAAAAGTGAATGAATGTAAAGTGAATGTAAAGTGTTAAGATTTAAGGTTTATCAATTAGGCGTATATATGAAACAATTTCTGATAAAGTTGCTTATATATGGCCTTGAAATAGTAATCAAAAATTCCGGATTCTCCGAATTTTATCAAAAGCTCCGAAAGAATTTTATTTGTCAGTGAGCAAATGACACATAAAAGGTTACAAGAAAGCCGAAAATGATCGATGGGCTGGCAAATTTTCAATTTATAAAAAAAAAAAAAAAAAAGAGATGATTAATAATCCATCCTATCAAAAATCCAAAAAAGATCCCAAAAAAATCCAAACAAGACTAAAAAGACTTAAAAAGACTAAAACATGGCTCACCTGACGAATTCTTTTACATTATATGCATCTGATATATATTAACATATTAACGCAATGCAAGAATGCAAGCAAAACCTATCCAGAATTCATTCAAGAAAATGACAGGCCAGGAAGCTTTACGTGTACATTGTTGAAAGCTTGCTGTTCATTTGCTTAATTCGGCCATCAATACGTATCTATTTTCTCCTGAGGTAAAACTCTTACATTATTTATTTATTTATTTATTTATAATTTTTTATTTACTTAACTTATTTATTTATTTATTTAATAGATGTTTTTTTTTTTTTTGCCAGAGTACCCCAAACTTTGCATCAGTTTTCTAACAATAATTCTCACAATAATCTGTCATACAAACATGAGTAAACATATATGAACAAATTAGCACTAAATGCTAACTACTTTATCATAATATTTACAAATTTAACACCGCCGCGAACCATCCAAAAATTTAGTATAAAAATACTATAACGATAATGATAGCAGACCGTCATCAGACCATCATCAGTTGGCAGACCATCATCAATTGGTAACATGCATGATCAAAATACTCACGCCAAAAAAAAAAAACTTGTGTAAAAATTTATTTCCACGCGACAACTTGTATGTACTGGCTACTTGACATATTAACTCAAAAATCCCTACATTCATGCAATAAAAAACTTTTGGCGAGTCAAAAATCCCTTGACTGATTTTAAATTTGGCTTTATTTTTCTTGCATTTCTTGCATTTCTTGCATGACATTCTTACAATTTTTTCACGGGAACTAATTCGACCATATACGTTTGTCCATTTTATGAAGTTACTTGCATGGATAGATGGATAGATGGCAATGAAACAACCACATTTTGCATTATTGTTAACTTTGCAGTTCTTTGCGTTCATTAAATACTTAAATACTTAAATACTTAAATACTGAAATATAAATTGTATATATTGTGTACTGAGTAACACTGACAGGAAGTTAAACTAACAATTTTATATATATTTATATTTGTATTTATATTTTTTATTTATATTTATATTTATAGTTTTATTTATCTGTTATATTTTTATTTAAATTTTTATATTTAATACTTATATTTATACTTTTATACTTTTAAATGTACTTTTAAATTTTAATATTTTATATTTTTGTATTTTTGTATTTTTGTATTTTGTATAGTTTTTATGGTCTTGGTAAACCACTAGAATCATTGAGTACATCATTGAGTACATCATTGAGTACATCATTGAGTACATCATTGGACAGCAGATCATAATAATCTTTATTTTGACAACAAACAGGCATGTTTGTTTTTGGTTGAATTCTGTAGCGTAACAATATTAAAAGCCTAGTTAGCATTTATAGTTGATAGTCTAGGTATGTCTGTTTAAATTAAATTCTGGTGAAAACTAGTTTTTTTTATATGATTTTCCTAAATTAGATTTCTTTTTTTTTTTATAGGCTAGTAAGATCTAAAATTTAGGTTTAGTCTAAAAGAACTGTTAATAAATATAAATGCACTCCACTAAATTTAGATGCAAAACAAACATGCCATCTTTTTTTTTCTCTTTTTTTTTTTTTTTTTTTTTTGCAGAAAAAAAAAAAAAACCAGCTGACTTGTAAACATGTATTCTCTAACTTAAACTTTCGAAACTTGTTTGAAGTCCTGTATTATTTTTATTCTTATTCTTACTAATTCTTGCAATGATATAACACTAAGTGATTTTCAGATAAACAATTGATCTAAAGAAATAGTTAACGTAAGAAAAATGGGCGAATTTCTTGACCACAGAAACCCAGAAACTTCCAAGACTTGAATACTTGGCTATTTTACCTTACTGCATAATTGTTCATTTCCTATTTTGAGTCTATTTTGATTCTATTTGCGAACCATATTATCCATATTATGTTGCGATAACCTTGTACAGCTTTCAAACAACTCGTGGCCAAGACCTGTAAAAAGACTAAAAGCTCTCAAAATTTTCGAAAAAAAAAGAGAGTTTGACTGCGTATTGAATAATGCATTACATATAGAGTGTGAAAATCATTTTTACGTAATTTACAGTAAACGATCATCAGCAGCTTACTCTGCTTTATCGATTATACGCACGCCACTCTAAAACACTAACAAATATGCATCTGACCAACCCGCGGCACATAAGGGTACATAAATTACATAAACATAAATTCGCTTTTTAAGATGCATGCGAGTTCATGCGAGTTGTAGATTGGAAAATAATAACGGTATATGATGCATTATTGTTAAAATATTTAAATATTTTTGATAAAACTTGTAGGAAAAGAATTTGGAAAATTCGGCTGAGTTCGAGTTCCGATGCAGTTTTCTTTATTGTACTTTTTTAATTACATTGTGATTACATTATAAATCTTTTTGATTATACTATAGATCATTTAAGGTAAAATAAATGACCCATATAGAATAATATACGGGCTTTCTTGTGTACAACGAAACTTTGTACGTATAGTATTTCAATAGTAATTAATAGTATTAATAGTAATCAATTGTAATCAATATTGATCAATAGTAATCAATATAATCAATATAATCAATTGTAATCAATAGCGATCGATAGCGATCGATAGCGATTAATAGAGATAGATAGCGATGAATAGAGATGAATAACGATGAAGCATCAATGACAAACATCAATTGCAAACATCAATTGCAAACATCAATGAAAACGATGGATAAAATCAAAGTACTTGGTTGTATTTACTGTATGTAGGTACGTACAAGTGTGTATAAGTGTAAGTGTCAATTTCCAGCATACAATCCAGCATATAATCCAGCATATAATCCAGCATATAATCCAAATATCAACTATAACAAAATAAAATCAATTTATGCTTAACGTCAAAGACGGGTATTTTTGATATAAACATCCAACAATGAAAAAAAATAACCCTACAATAAAAAAAAATAAAACTAAAGCTAGGAAATATCTTAAAAAACCTTAAAAAAAAATTATAAACCGTTTAAGTTCAAATTACAACATAAAAGAACATGCTACATTCACGTTTTTCCTATAAAAAAACTTTAAATAAACAACCAAAGTTGACCAAGAACGCCTCTTCATTGTTTTGAAACTTGAAACAAACTCCTTTTTTACGCAATGACGTTTCTCTTTTAAATATAACTAAAAAAAAAAAAAACTTTAAATATTTTATATGCAATATGTAAAATAAAAAGCCAGTTAGGCGAACATGCATGCATGATGTTTATTCTGCCCAAATCTGTTCTAGTTCAAGATAAATCAGTCCTAGTTCAAAATAAATCAAAATAAATCAAAATAAATCAAAATAAATCAAAATAAATCAAAATAAATCAAAATAAACCAAAAGTTTACTGTGCATATTATCAATCTATTTTATCATTGGTTTGTTATTTTTATAATGCTGTGGCTTATCTTGTGATTGTTGTTTTATGGTCTAATTTGTTTCATATTGATTTACTGTATGAATGTTTACCATAATTTTCTGAGACGATTTTCTGAGACGATTATGTCAATTATGTCATTATTAGGAATTATAGGAATATAAATAATTTGAATTAAAGCCACTTTCGCGCGCGCCACTAGTACATAAGCTTTAGATCAATAAATACAAATCAAGTTGAACTAAAAATTAAGAACAACGGCAAATCTTTTGTAAAAATATTGTTAGACCCAATTAATACGTAACAATAATAACAATAAAAAATTTCGTAATTCAAGTAAAAACACAATGGTATCATTTTTGGTTATATTTAGAATTCGATAAAATCACGTACGTACGTACGTACTGTGCGTAACAATGATTTTTTGTTTGATTAATTAACAAGATTTTGAAAGAATGAGATAAAATAGAAAGTACAATAGCAAAATAGATATGTACCGTAAGTACATACTACAGTTTATGAAACATTTTTATTATGTCCGGGCATAATTCATTTATTACACAATGCTTTTATTCATATTAATGAAAATTATTACGGTCATTGACAGTCATTGCATTACTTTTTACATACATCTCTTTCTACTGACATCTCCAATGACAGTGTTAAGGTTTTGATTCATGACTAATGCATATAGAAAGCATACAGAAAACAAATAGAAAACAAATATAAAGCACATAGAAAGCATATAGAAAGAAATGCCAATAATTCATACATGTGACCGTTATCCGACGTACATACCATACATACCTGATACATACATACTGTACATACGTACGTCCGGTCAAATAGTAATCCAGGTATAAAAAGATGAAAGAAAAGAAATAATAGCGATAAGAAAAATGTACAATATGTACAACAAAGAAAATATGATACACGAGTATGACTTGTGCTTACGATCTAATGGTATGCTCTGAGTGTTCTCCGAGATTATGTTACTCGATTATGTTATTCGATTATGTTACTCGTTTATGTTACTCGTTTATGTTACTCGTTTATGTTACTCGTTTATGTTACTCGTTTATGTTACTCAATTATGTTACTCAATTATGTTACTCAATTATGTTACTCGATTATGTTACTCGATTATGTTACTCAATTATGTTACTATGTTACTCAATTATGTTACTCGGTTATGTTACTCAATTATGTTACTCGGTTATGTTACCGATTATCTTACTAAGTTATGTTATTATGTTACTCTTTACATCCCTTCTGTCATCCTTCCAATTTCATACATGCATGCATATATGGAAATCATGAAACGCTTTAAATTATCGATTAACACATATCTATTATGTCTGTTTCACGATTTTGGTATACAAGCATTATGACAGAATGTCTGTTAATAAAATAAAAATACATCTGCACATTCAAGATTGTCAAAAATATATTGAAACATATAAACTTTTTCTCTATGATTTAATTATATGCACATGTGTCGCAGATACGGAAATCAAAACGTGGTTTTCCCCAGTTTTGATCAAGCATAAAACAATGATCCTTGAAAACTTTCTTCAAGAACTTAACTTATTAAGAGAACAAACAATACTCCTACATTGTACCACTATATACACTCAATACACACTACACGTAATCATAGTAACGTACGTACCTACAGTAATATAATTATCGTTTAATATTCTTTTATCTGTTTTAATAAATTTTAATAAATACAATTTTCATCTTCAAAAAATTGCATATATTTTCATTTCATTCTATTTGTTATTTGTAATAACGCATACATAATACTATATTTCATTTTTACAAACAATCAAAATAATCAAAATTGCTTAATATCGTTATATGCCAAAATGATGTGCTAAATATGTCAAACACAAAGAGAATGCATAAATCAAATCGAAAATGCATAAATCGTAAATAGCATACAACATTAACAACATTAGGCCAATTATCTTCTGATACGTATTCTAAACTCAGCAGTGCATTTAATATTCTTAGTTATACATGTATGTACGTACGTACAAAGATTTCGCTTTCGAAAATGAATTTGAAATATTCTTCTTTGTTAACAGGATCTCTCTTGCTTTATATAATTGTATAAACAGATCGTTGTTTTTTTTTTTTGCTTTGCTTAATTTAATAAATCTTGTACTTTCTACCTATCATTAACTTTTATGTTTAAATATAATTTGAGATGCTACTGGATTAAAAAAAAGAAGAAAGAAACATCATGTATCGTATGCATCGTTTATTATTCATCATCCATTTATCATTCATTCATTCATTCATCATTCATTCATCATTCATTCATCATTCATTCATCATTCATTCATCACCACTCATTTATACCTTGTATGCTATAAAGATACAATAGCAAGTTGACGATAAGTATTTTTTGTCGATTATTTATAATTTGTAAAATATTATTTAATTATATATTAACGTCAATAAATTTATATTTTTACATGGCATGTCACATTATTATATATAGAACCAGAAATATTCGGATACAATATTCGGACACAACCCGTTTCTGCATGTACCATAGTTTAATTTTAAAAAAAAAAAATTAGATATTTAGATATCCGGATTTAAACTCGAATTATATATCAATTACATATCAATTATATATCAATTATATCAATTATATGTCAATTTCAAAGGTTACAAATGTTACAAGATGAATAAAATCCATCTTTGGCCATTTACCTGTTTATTAAACTTTATCTCGAATCGAACACGTGTTTATCAAATTTTAATTGCCTATTAAAGTTATCGTTTGGAAACTTTTCTTAAAATTTTAGAGTTTCTCATATAAACATTTCTCTGGGCCGTTTATTTAACTCATGAAAAAAACAATTTCACCATGCGCATTTAATAATTACCAACAAACCTGTTTATTATTACTTCACATGCCGTAATAGTTTACCCTGCATATTTTCAAATGAATGTCTGAATAAATGTAACTGCATCTTACCGAATTGTCTATATCTTCATCATTAAAAGGAAACCTATCTAATCTTTTTACATCAATAATCCGGTATGATTTCTGGAATTTTTGTAATATCAATGCAATATCACGCATAAAAATTTTTCTATGATTTAACTACCCAAGATTTCGCGCCATTCAATTTTTTTTTTACAAATCTGCTTCGTGTTGCATATTGACATGTGTCAAGATAAGTGTATTCATTATGTTTAATTGTCTGTCTGTCTGTCGGAAAACAAAGAATTTGTCATTATGCACCTTCTTTCCCCCAACCGTTAAGTTCATACTTTGATATCATTGAAATTACTTCCTAAATATATGCACGAGTCTCAAAGAAATATTGGTCGATTGCATATTTTTGATTGCATGTTATTATTAAATAATGTCATTCATTATTTCATCATACAATACTGTTAAACAAAAAAAATTTTTTTTCATTGCGGGGTGGATTTGTTGTTATTTAGAGTTAAAACCTTATCTTCTTAAATCTAATTATTTTCATGTGTGCAACGAAATTGGTAAGGATTTCCTTTGACAACACGCATCGTAACTTTCTGGTTTAGGTAGTTTTTGAATAAAAAAAAATCTATTTAATAATGAATGATGTAAATGAATGCTAAATGGTTTGTCTTTAATTAAAAAAAAACTAACTGACTACGTATAATTATTCTTAAGTTTGAATTAATGCATATAGAAAATCAACCTTCCAAAAAACTTCAAGACTATAAAGACTATAAATTTAATTTATATTCATTTTTTTTTATTAATAAATGCTTTATAAAAAATTAAACCATTTTTTTAAATAAATTTCGACGTGCCTGATGAATTAAATTAAAATTTGAAACCGATTAAAAAAAATCGTCTAACTGGGCAATGTCCTGCTAAAAACTAGAATTTTAACTAAACCATACCTTTTTAAAGTCTTTTTACCTTAAAATTTTACTACTTCTGGTTAAAATCTATAGTGCTAACTTGAATTATATCTAATCGAGTTTTCTGATTTCAACTCATGTTACAATTGGATAGTACTACTCTGTTGTTGATTAGTCAAAATCGACTACGCCACTAGTACATGTAAGTCATGTGATTGAAAATCCTTTTTAACCCGGGGTAAAGTCATCCAAGTTATTACTAACACTATTAATTTTAGTCACGTACATTACTATGACTTATCATGTAACTTTTAACACGAGTGAAGATAAACTTTTCAAAAAAATATTGGCTTTTTTTTTGACTATAGTAGTAGTAGATATAATCTTGTACAAAGATTCGATTTATAAGTTATTTTTTTACAATAATAAAAGTATAGTTAGCTATATATATAACTATTTTTAAAGTTTTACCTATTATAAGCTTTTATTTTAATTGGCTAATTTTATAGTTGTAAAGTTTTATTAAATAATTTTGATTTTTTTAAAAAATAAAGTTTTTACTTCTAATAGTATTATATTTTAATAAAAATATACAGTATATACTTTAGTTATTGTTTACAGTATTTAAAAATTTTGTTATATTTATTTCTATTATATTTAAAGTTTGTAAATTTTTTATTTAAATCCTTTAAATCAAAATTATTATTATTATTGCTAATTTGGCGATTTACCTTTATTATTTTATTAAAAATACTAGAAAATTACTATTAATAGATCAAATATAACTTTTTATACTGTAGTTCTATACTAATAATGATTTACTTAGGATTAAAACTCAGGTGTAAACTATTTAGCAGCAATTAGCTTTATATTAGATTCTCAACTTACTAAAATTTTGATTCTTTTGCTTATAAGCTACTGCTTTGTTTAAAAGTTAAATAAAAAAAACACAAAATAAAAGAAAAATCGAGGTATAAAAGAACCTTAAAAAATATATAAATAATTTAAATCTGAGTTTATATAATTTTAACTAAATAAAAGAAGACGACCAAGAGGTCACTTTAAAACCAAAAAAAATAAAAATAATTTTAACCAAATAGATATATAAAATAAACTAAAATTTAAAATTTTATTATATAAATATGTAATGTTTATTAGATTTCTATACAAAATTTTTTAATAATATTTGAGTTTTCTGTAAATTTTTCAAAGTTTTGATATAGATTTTATAATAAAATATATAAACAAGAAAGAAGAAAAAAGGAAATATTTAAAACCAAAAAAAATTTATCTATTTTAATATTATTTTATAAATTTTTAAAAGGTCTTTAAAAATTGGTGGTGAGTCAGTAAAAAAAGGTCAAATTTTTTCTAAGTAAAAGTTTTTTTAACTTTAAGATTAAATATTTTAACAACTATCTTATTAAATTTAATAAATTTTTTTTATTTTAATTTTATATAATTTTAAAATTAAA